GGGGAAAAAAGGCGAGAAATGGTGGTGTACAAAATGCACCGAGCTCCCCAAATAACAGAGGCTCTGTAGGTTTTGTAATCATTTTCCTTTTACCCCTGCAAACCAGGGAGAAAAATCCTACGCGGAAAGCAGTTCCCAGGTTCATCACTGCGATCAGGAAAAGCTCTGTACTTCTGTCGTCTTTAGCTTCTCTCTGTATTTCTTTCATCCCAAATCCTTTTTTCTCTGCTGTGGAGGTGTCGGGGGCAGGCTGCCAGCCGGACCTGCTTCCCAGGGGCCGGGATGCTCCCCAAACCCGGGGGACGCTGCCTGAAGCTGCCTTGCAGCTGCAGAAACGAGCTGCCAGGGGGTTTCTGGCCTGGGCAGCCCAGCATGGGCCGGAGCGGTCCCTCAGCCCGCGAGAGCGATGCTTCGCCCGGCCTGAGGGATGAGACAGGAGGTGAGCCCTGCTCCCGGAGGGTTTCTGCTCCAACGGAGCCTGTGGTCTCCTTGCGCCTTTCGGGCGGTCGCTGCCTTGCAGAGCTCCCGTTTCAGCCTTTGGTGACCTCAATTTTCCCTGTGTCTCGGGAGGCATCTCCCTGTGTGCGGCCGGCTCTGTCCGTCCGTCTGTCCTGCTCTCCGCGGCAGGGCTTTGCTGTCAGGGCCGGAGGGGGCTGCTGGCTCTGGGTTTGCCCCCAGATTATCAAACTGCATGAGGCGCAGTGGGACCCCGTGCCGTCCCTGTCCCTTTACTGAATCAGGTGGATGCTGCCACCGGGCGCGGGAAAGCGCCACGCCAGAGCGAGGGGCTGGCGTCCCCCAACGCGGGCAACGGGGCTGACACCAGGCGCAGACAAGCTTGTCCCCTGTCCCCAACCGGGCTTTAATAGGGGGGGCTTAGCCCCAGCTCCCTGTGACCGGGCTGGGTCAGCATCGCCCTGCTCCTGGGGTATGACTGGCCCTGGAAGCTGCGTGGGCTCCCTTGGGGCGTCCCCGTGGGCAACCCCGGAGGCGCGCGAGCATCCCCAAAGCCGGACAGCACAAAGGGACCAAGCAAGTGACCTG